CCAAGGTGAGTACGATTTAAATTGATTTCTCTTGTTACTATAGCGTACATACATATTTAATATATACATAAGTACAAACATACATTCAATTACCCGGTATATATGTATTTGGGTAGGCAGATACATTCTTATCACGTTTTTTTTTCTTTGTGAATTATTAAAAACTAAAGCGGAGTTTAGAAGTATTGAAAATATTGAGTTAGGATTAATGTGGACATAGGTAATAGGCACGAATATATAAGATTACGTAGGTTTCACTGTTAATGGAGTAATTGAAAACCATTAGATTAAGTGCAGTAAACTAAGGTCAAAGTAGGAGATACTATAAATATTTATGTAATAGTTAGCCCATTAGAAATTAGTTAGCATTAGGGTATACTCTTAAGCACTTATACAAAAACAAAGAAAGGAAATAATAAAGTTGTGAATTGTAGAGCTAAGATAGAAAAGAAGAAATATGAAGTGAAATTTTTTTGTTTGTTTTGGATAGGAATTCAGCTGAGTAATGGAGTGCTAGGCACAGGTTTTTGGTGTGGGTGTTGCACTTGTGCAACAGAGGGGAAGAGGGAGTGTGAAGACGCAACGACAACTGAGGTGAAATGACTGACTGATTGTTAGACGGACGTGTGTCAGGCTTAGGGGGCGTTGTAAGAAGGTGAGGAGTCATGACAACGCCCAAGGTTTTGCGTGGAGTTCACGCAGAAGAAGGGTGGGATGACTCCACCTGACATGACGGGACTGGACCATTTATCTGTAGTGCTTTCTCTTGCTCATCTTCTTATTTCTCTTTGTTATTTGTGACCATCCGCACTAGTAGTTCTCCGTATCACCAGGCACGATTAACTTTTTGTTTGTGTAGCGACTACCAAGGCAGGCGGAAATGACAACCCCCCCAACCGACGAGCTAGCTTGGGATGCAAGCGCGCCTGCATGCCGCATCGCCGGGTACAAATACGCAGCTACATAACAACGCTTGCATGACATAAATACTTGGATGCTGGGGATCATCATCTTCATCGCACCACAAAAATCGCTGAGCATGCATGTCGGTGTCCCGGATATGCGGATGCGGTGAAACATCTCCGCTATATCACCGCATATAGCTACTCTACCCACTCTGAAATCTCATAAAATACCAACAACAGGGTTAAGCAAGTCTGGGCCACTCAGCAGGAAGTCATTGAGCGACACCCCGTTCACCTTGGCAGCAGCATCCCACACCATCCGAAGCTTTCCAGGCTTATTTGGATTAATTACGATGAAAATAGGCAAATACCACGTTTTGTCATTGGGAACAGCAGCCTCAACTCGGGAGAGCTTTTTAGCGTACTCTTTGGAAAGTAGATTATTGATCTGAACTTGAATGTTAGATTTTAACATAGGGTCCTTAACAAACTTTTTCTTCAAACACATCAGTCGTTGCAAGGTATAGGCACAGCTATCTGGTAGCGATACAGTTGGGTTACGCCAAGGCAGCCCAATTTCGAAGTGGTGACCGACCTTTTGACTTGTGTCGTTCGCAATGCTCACGGTCTTTGCATCTTCTTCCGATAGTAGCTGTGTAGGTTTAGACGACTCTAACGCGAAGAATTCCTTTACGTATGTACGCTTAGTCGATATTCGCCAGTTTGTCTCGAATCACACCCTTGTAACGTCCAACCTAAACGAGTCTTTGACGCTATGGGCTGGAACCAGGTTCCCTCTCTAATTTTGAGAGGAATTGCCAACCTGCAATTGTCCGCACCGATCAACAACGATGGCTTCACGTTTTCGTACGACGCAATCGGCAATCCCGCTAAATATGGATATAGGCGCTCCATCTCGGATGCGTTGATTGACTGCGCTGGGAGATCAAGATCATCGACAGTATGAATATTTTTCAAAATATACTTCTGGCCACTTGTCGCACTCGAAATTTCGATGGCAGCCCTGACAGAATTTTCTTCAATCCGCGTTGTGTTGCCTGTCCACCGCAAAAAAAAGGGTCTCGTTCACCTTCCAAGCCAAGTTCATCGAGGATTCTCTTTTCCATTAGCGTCACAAAAGAGCCTTCATCTAAAAATGTTTCCATGTTTAAAAATATTTCCAGTACTTTATTGTTTGAATAAATGCGAATAGGAACGATTCTGAAGAGTGGTTGCAATCCTTCGTGACCGCTACTGTGCGTATTTATCTGCACATCTGAAAGCTTGTTTGCATTTGTACTTACGGTGTTGGGTTTCTTTTGACTCGTTACTGCGGTTGTTTTGTGCAGTAACTGATGGTGTTTTACCGTGCAGCCATCTACACCAAATACCTTGTTCAGAAAACGTTTGCGCTTATGGGGATTCAAGCATTAGCGGCAGAGGTTGTTTGTCTTCACCTCCTCCCATTTTCGCTGGAGAGTCAAATTTTTAAAAACGCCGCATTGCATTACCTTGTGATCGGAGCCTTTGCAAATTATACACTGCCTGCCCATTGGAGTTGATGGCGGATGCTGAGTGTTTGCATCGATGGTGTGCGTGTTAACCGTAGCATTACTTTTGGGCGGTGCCAACGAGACCACAGTACTGGCTGCTTCGGCTAGATTGTACAACCAGTCGCTGAACTGTTTCACTACCGGAATCTTATCGTGTTTCGGGTGAACTGCCCAGTTCAACTTCTGGCCATTGGGGAGCTTGTCAACCAACTCCTTAACAAGCAGCGGATTATGCAGGTGCATGTGCATTTGGCATCCTTCCATCGTGGCGCAAATGTTCCTGACGTAGATTACAAACTCTATAAGACCTTCCAATTTATCCTTGAGCGCAGTCTAATTAAATTTTCTGCATCGGTAAACCCCGCAACCGTGGAGCTGTTCTCTAAACTGCTAATAAACAGCGGCCACTCTTCAGGGTCGCCATTAAAGGTTGGAAGCTGTTTAGGGATAGCCTGCCTTGCGGCCAATTGCCCAGGCGTAGGCCCATTGCTATGTGCGAACATCGAAGCGTTGGATGAGGGCAGCTCGTTTTACTGCGAAAGAATCTTATGCTTGTTTTCTAAATATTGCTGTTGTGTTTTCATCTCCCCTTCCAGCCTTTCAAGCTGAAGATTTCGACATATTTCGGAGTTGAACGACATCTGCATACCTTGAGAATTTCGTGCACCTGCATGCGGCACCGATGGGAAAGCTTTTGGCTGATTATACGGTAAGTCAGTTGCGGAGGTAGCGACGTTGGCTATTGCAAATTGCTGTATCGGCGTTGACAAGGGCACGGGGTAGTGCTCCGTAGTTAGCGTCGATAGCTGCTGTCCCTGAACTGATTCACTAGGCCCGAAATTCCAGTTTGCAGAGGCCAAAGTCGTTGATACTGATGTTGGAATACTACCAGCGGTGGCAGTAGAAGTTATTATATTTGTCGTTGTGTTAAGAAGCGGATTGACTCTTGAATGCGATATCTTCGCAGTAGATGGAAACGTTGGTAGAAAATGCACGCGCCGGTTACCTTGCACGGTAGTTGGCGATGACGATGCAGCTGGATGCGCGTTTGTGGTTGATGTATGGTTCTGGCAGCTCTCACAGCTCCAGCTTAAGTCAGCCACATTGCTGCCTACTCCAACGCAGTTGAAATGGTACCAGGCGTCGCAGGTGTCACACTGGGCCATACTCTCGTTGTCTGCTGCGTCACATTTTCGGCAATTTTGACCCGTTGTTTCCTTGTCCTCGTTGCTAAGATTAACCGGTCTTAATTAAAGTCGATTCGCAAATTTTACTCGAAGACAAAAAAGTTTTAAAGAATTGTTGCGCGTATTTTTAAGCGCGGCAGTTGTACCAATTTAAGTAAAACACAAATTTCTAACAGCGTCCGAGCTCTTTAGAACTTTTTATATTTCACCGTATTTTCTTTACAACTGTTTTAATCTGCACCAAGTAACTTGAATTTATAGCTGGTCAAAGTGCCCTGACATTGCAGTTAGTTTTAGTAAATATGTAGTAAATAACAATAGAAGTGCATGATACGGTACATATGTATCTGTACAAGCAACTAATAAGAGATATTGCATAAACTAAGAGAAATACAATGCCTGTGAGAAGTATAAGGCGAATAGTAAAATAATGGAATAATGATAACATACGCAAATAAGAGGGTGGATGATATTTACTGCTCGGCCGTAGTTTTTGTCGGTAACAGTTCCCTTTTGTTTAGTCTTTTTGTTAGTGATGTATTTTATGTGTGTCAGTATGTTGTAACGAACCCGGTTTATCCGGTCTATAGCTGGGCTGTGGCTCAGTCGGATGTTGGGTTCCCTTATCCAAACGTTAAAATAAATACGCCAATGATTCTTATAGTGACGCTTCTTTATTTCGCTATTTAGTTGGCAGCGTTTGCACGTCACACCAATATAACGTATTTCCTTGGCGGCGTTTCCACGTCACACCATATAAGTACTACTTGGCAGCGTTTTCACGTCACACCAATATAACGTATTGCTTTGGCAGCATTTTCACGTCACACCATATACCTTAACTACTTACTAAGCAACTTAGTCTTCACAATCGTTGCTTAGCCATTCCAATCTGCGTTTGCACGATCGACTGGAGTATACGACTACTCAACCAGAAGTCATTTTTAATTCCAATTGCTGCTCTATTTATACTGTCCTGCACGCAGGCAGATAGTTATCCTAACAATATTGTTGCCAACATTTTGCTTATTTCCTTTTCCTTGCTCCTACATTAGTACGTATGTATGTACTTCAACCCTCAACATATATATGTACATATGTACGTCAATTTCACGTATATAAATATATATATCCAACAATTCATTTACTATGTATATATATAAGTAGATAAACACAATTCAGGTCTACATACTTGTATTAATGTATATATATATAATAACAATTATGGAAAATTCAAAATTCTACGTACATGTATATATATATATATAATATAAAAACTCATCAATTCAATTTCAGTAAATGTGACAGCCAATTGTGAAGTGAGTGTAGGGACTTGGGGTCTTCACACCCCCCCTTTACTTCTCTCTGGACGCGTGATCGTCACCATCCCCGCGCCTGTAATGCGAACACGGTACCCAATTGTACCCACCGCATGCCTGAATGTTTGGCGTCTTCTTGGTTGCCGTTGAAGCCGCTCTTCGGTGACCCTTACCAGTTCCCATGGTAACGGGTTTGTGCCGCTGAAATTTCGCCAGTCGGCTGGTATTGTTGCTGGTTTTGCTGCATCTTCCTGCAACCATCGCTCGATCTCCCGTACAACCGCTGGGTCTGCCTGCTCTGCTTCAATGCTGGCTAACTCCTCCAACCACTGCTCCAACCCGCGGTCTTCCTCCACCGACAGGGTGAGCGCACTATCATCTTCGCAGCCTTCGTCATCTCTATTATCAGTTGTTATTGTCGCCGCTGCTACGTCGCACAACGCCTGCGCAGGTGGTTGTCGCCATGCTTCGGTGTTCTGCGTGGCTCCATTAAAAATACGCATCGTCATGGTGATGCCACGAACGTATTCCACATAACCCTCACCTGGACGTTGGCAATCTTCCTCCGCGATGGTCATTTCGCCTCGGCGTGGTTCATCTTCACTGTCTGATGACACCTCGATCGGCGTGGGCGCTCTTGCTATTTCGCCTCGATACCACTCATCGTCGCTGTTGCTGCCTTCACTTGTTAATTTGGTTGGTGTGTTGCTACCAACCCTGTTGTCTGGACTGCTTGACATATAGTCGCTGCAATAGTCTAATGCAGGACTCCAGCACCCCACATCACTCACACCGTAGTCTGTACTTTCGCGCGCGTATATTTCGGTGCTGGCCTGACTTGCGTTGTCTTCACCGCTTTCTCCTTCACCAACGCCAGTATGTTGCCTGATCTCCGCTTCAGTCGCCTTGAACAGTTCGCCAGTTGCCCGTGTATCCATCGCTGCAGTCACTTTTTGACTAGCGGGTCCTTTTGCGATATCCTTTTATATTATTCATTTCGGAAACAGTAGCCTTTGCGCGGCAAACTGTATATTTCCAAATTATTTGCATTTTGTTATTTTTTTGGTTTATAATATTTTAGTTTGTTATCGTTTTATTCAGCTGTTGTATTGCACTGTTGCCCACTCTCCAAAAAGGGGGATTATTTTGCCGGGATCGATATATCAATATCAGAATAGTGTTGCCAGCTTGGTAAATGATGTATCCGTTTTACGATATTAATTATGATTATTATATTGGTTATTATTATTGTATTTGCTGACATTATTGTTTATTAATAGTTTTTATACATATTAATAATTATATTGCCTTATTATGTTTGTTTTTTAGATTAATGCTATCCCAAATTTTTGTTTGTTTGCATGAATTATCTCCCTTTTTTTCATAGTATTCTCGTGCTACAACCTCGTTCTTCTTCTTCTTCTCATTCTCCTTTTTTTTAAACTCCTTCCTCTTTTCCTTTCCTTTAAGCTCCTTCTTCTTCTTTCTTTAAACTGATTTTTCTTCTTCTTTCTTTTGAAACTCCCTCTTCTTCTTCCCTCTTTTCTCTTATATTTTCTCTTTTTCTTCTCTCCCCTAAGGGTCTCCTTTTCATGGCAAATGCTCCCCTATTTGGCAATTGCCGAGTTATCACATTTCGGTCTATGACCGAAATTTACCTTTTCTTCGCCTTGCGTCGAATTAGGCTCAGGTGCATGCCGGAGAAGGATTTTTGGTGACTCTGCCGCGTCGGCCTCTTCATCGCCGTAAAATGGCTTCAGCTCACTCAGATGTGTTGTTCTCCTCTTACCGTTGCGTACCTTGTCTAATTCGACGATTACTGGCGAAACGTAATTCATCACTCGGTATGGCCCAGCATACTTCGGTTCAAGTTTTGCCGCAAAGTTTTCCGTCGCCTTCGATAGGTGATGCTCCTTCACCAGCACTCGGTCACCTACCACTGGTCGCCATTTCCTCCTGCGCAAGTTGTAATGAAGCGCTTGCTCGATCGACGCTGTCTGCTGATTTCGCCTTACCATCTCAAATATCTCTCGCATTTTCGTTGCCTTCGCCTCTGGTGTCGTCATCGTATGGCCTGTACCGAAAGTTTGATCGTCGTAGAGGGCTTTTGGTGCTCGCGGCTCGCGTCCTTGACCTAAGAAGGCAGGGCTGTAGCCGGTGGCTTCGCAAACACTGGTATTAAGCCCTATTATCATTTCGGGTAGTAAGTCGTCCCAATTTCGCTGTTCTTTTCCGGTAAACAGTGCAAGCATTCTCTTTATGTTGCGGTTTGCCCCCACCGTCGGATTTTCTTGTGGTGTGTATGGTGCGGTGAGTTGATGCCTAACCCCGTACTCTCGTAGTAGCCGTTTGAACTCTCTGCTGGTGAATTGTGTTCCATTGTCAGTTATACAAATTTTCGGGACTCCAAATCTAGCGAGTACGCGTTCTCGAAACGCTTTGTTAAGGCCTTCAGCTGTCGCCTTCCGTAGAGGCACAATTTCCACCCATTTGGAAAACTTGTCGATAAAGACTAGTACGGTTTTGGTTCCGTGCTTTGATCGTGGCAATGGTCCCACAAAGACTGCTNCAATTTCCACCCATTTGGAAAACTTGTCGATAAGGACTAGTACGGTTGTGTTTCCGTGCTTTGATCGTGGCAATGGTCCCACAAAGTCTGCGCATACTGTAGCCCAAGGTTCTTCTGCGATCTGGGTCAGCATCTTTCCCGCAGCTTTCTGTTGGCTGGGCTTGTAAATCTGGCAGGTAGTACACTGTCGGACATACCTCTTTATGTCCCTGAACATTCCGGGCCAGTAGTAACGTGCCGTCGCTCTCGTTATCGTCTTGCGGATGCCCATGTGTACTGCGCTTGGACTATCGTGAACTTTCTTCAGTACTCTCTCACGTAGTGGCGCTGCCACGCATAGCTTCCACGGTATCGTGTCTTCATCATCCATCTGGACTGCGATGTGTCGATACAGTTCGTTGTTTACAATTGTGTAGTCCGGGAACTTTGCTGGTGTCCTCTTCACCTCTGCCATTTTCTCGGTCAGCCACTTGCAGGCCTTTGCCTCTTTATCCTGCACTAATATGTTGAGCTGTACGTCTTGGGGTTGTCGTGACAGTGCATCGGCAACGACGTTCAACTTACCCTTGCGGTACTTTACATCGAATGTGTGTTGCTGGAGCTCTAGTGCCCATCTTGCAATGCGTCCTGAGGGACTCTCGATCGCATTCAGCCATTTCAAGGACAGGTGGTCGGTGATAACCGTGAATGCGTAACCCTCCAGGTACGGTCTCATTTTCCGTATAGCCCACACAATGGCCAGACACTTCTTTTCAGTCGCCGAGTAGTTTTGCTCTGCCTTGTTCAGCCGTCGACTAGCGTAGGCTATGACTCGCTCCGCGCCGTCTAACTCCTGTGTCAGTATTGCACCTAGCCCAAAGTCGCTGGCATCGGTTTGTAGCGTGAAATGCTGGGAAAAAAATCTGGACAGGCTAATACCGGTGCTTCCGTTAGTGCGCTCCTTAATTTGTCAAAGGCCGTCTGCTGCTCATTGCCCCATTTCCATCGGCTTCCTTTCTTCAGTAATGACGTCAGAGGGTGTGCAATGTGCGAAAAATTCGGAACAAATCGCCGATACCATGACGCTACGCCCAGAAAGCGCCGTAGCTCGCGTGTGTTTGTTGGCGGTGTCAATCCTTTAATCGCCGCAATATTGTCAGGATCGGTGTGAATCCCTTCTTCGCTCACCACATGACCCAGGTATTTCAAACTCTTTTTGAAAAACTCACACTTCTCTGGGTTGATCTTGAGGTTCGCCTGTCGCAATCGTCGAAACACTTCTTTCAGATGTTCCATGTGTTGGCCTAGCGTCGCACTCGTGATAATATCGTCCAGATACACAAACGCGTGCGGTTCCAATTCTGGTCCGATGACTTTGTCCAGTGCTCGTTGAAACGTCGCAGGCGCTGAATGTAGCCCGAACGGCATCACGCCNGGGTTGATCTTGAGGTTCGCCTGTCGCAATCGTCGAAACACTTCTTTCAGATGTTCCATGTGTTGGCCTAGCGTCGCACTCGTGATAATATCGTCCAGATACACAAACGCGTGCGGTTCCAATTCTGGTCCGATGACTTTGTCCAGTGCTCGTTGAAACGTCGCAGGCGCTGAATGTAGCCCGAACGGCATCACGCCCCACTGGAACAGGCCACGTCCTGGCACAGTGAACGCAGTATACTCCTTACTACTCTCTTCCATCGGGATTTGCCAGTACCCATTCTTCAAGTCGAGGCTGCTAATGAATTTAGCGCTTCTCAGGCGGTCTAAAATATATAGGATTCGTGGGATTGGGTACGCATCCGGTACCGATCGCGAGTTAAGTTGCCGATAGTCCACGCAAAGTCTCCACTTTCCATTTTTCTTCTTTACGAGCACGATTGGCGCGCTGTGTGGGCTATGGGAAGGCTCGATGCACTGCTTCTCTATTAACTCGTCGATCTCCCTGTTTATTACCTCCTGCATTTTCGGGTTCTTGGGAAAGTAGCGTTGTTTTATTGGTCGATCATCCCGCATTACAATCTTATGGGCGGCGATGTTAGTCGTACCCGTTATCTTCTCGAATGCGAGCAATTCCTTCTTCAAGAAATTTTTGACTTCCGTCGTATCCTCGGTGGATGTGGGTTGTTCATTTGCAGCCTTTTCGCCTTCCTCAGCTCTCTCTACATCGCGCACTTCCAACATCGTGGTACATGCAGCCTTCGTTCGAATGTCGTCCTCTGCCTTCATCGTCAATGTCTGCCCTCCGCAGCTCACTGTTGTGTTGGCCTTTGCCAGGTAGTCAGTCCCAAGGACCATGTCATCGACTAAACCTGGTAGGACGAGTAACTCGCTCCTATGCTCTTGATCGCCCACCTTTACTACCGCCTCTATCTCACTTCTGTGACCGCTATTGTNGGTAGTCAGTCCCAAGGACCATGTCATCGACTAAACCTGGTAGGACGAGTAACTCGCTCCTATGCTCTTGATCGCCCACCTTTACTACCGCCTCTATCGCTTCTGTGACCGCTATTGGTCTGCCATCTCCCATCACCACTCTTTTGTTCACTCTTCGTGACCGCTCGATTCCCAGGGTGTTCGCTGCTCTAATGCTTACAAAACTTCTTGTTGCTCCCGTATCAACCGCTGCTATTACTGCTCTACCATCCACTGTTGCTCTGGCGATTACTCGCTCTTCCGCTTGCTTAAGAATTGGTGTTACATTGACTGGGGTTGCATTACTGGAGAACCCACACTTCGTCGCGAATAGGGTCCTTGGCCGTTTCCCTGTTTCCCACGGCAACAGTCAGAAGTTCGAATGTTCCGCCGACCACACGTCCAACAGAATTGCTGGATATCGTTGCGACATTCGTAAGCGAAATGTCCGTCTTCGCCGCATCGTCTGCACGCCGTTCGTGGGTTTACTTGGCTAGATTCTTCGCTTTTACGTTGGTGTCCCGTAGGTAGCGCATAATCGCCTCCATCGTGCCGTCTCGCTGGCGTCGTATACCTCTCTCTTCTCTGCTCCTCTCGGATAGTGTAGCTGCGCTCTTCATTTCGTCTCGGGGTTATTGCGCGGGACAATGCTCGTTGCGACTCCTTCTCTGCTACAATATTCTCGTAGTCTTCTGCCAGACTTACCAACTCTCCAAGAGTGTTGAACTCGGTTTGTTTAATGTACAGCTGGTATTCGCTTCGGCAGTTCTTATAGATGCGCCGCAGCTTTTGTGCCTCCGTATAGTCGGAATGACGCATTAGCCTTGTAGCGCTAGTACATAGTCTTTAAATGCCTCTCTGGGCCGTTGAACACGCTGCCGTATCTCTTCATCGAGTGTTTCGAAATACCGGGAATTCAAGAAGAACTTCAGGAAATCTCGCTTACACGTCTCCCAGTCTCTCCAGTGGCCGTGATTGTTT